TTTATTTATTTTATTTATTTTATTTATTTATTTATTTTATCTACTTTGTTTATTTTATTTATTTTTTTTTATTTTATTTTTTTTCTGTTTAATAGGCACAATGATAGCGGGGTGGAATGCAACAAGTGAAGAACCTGAACTTTACTTTGTAGACGATAAAGCCACCAGGTAGGGTTTAGGGTTTAGGGTTTAGGGTTTAGGGTTTAGGGTTTTTAAGGTTTAGGCTTACTTTACTTATGTTCTAGGGTTTAGGGTTTAGGGTTTAGGGTTTAGGGTTACTTAGGGTTTTTAGTGTGGTTTTGTGTTATTTTGTGTTTTTAATCGATACAAACTATAGGGTTTAGGGTTTAGGGTTTAGGGTTTAGGGTTTAGGGTTTAGGGTTTACGTAGCTTTTCTAGCTGCGCATCCACCGCGCTTTTTTTTTTTTTTTGATTTCTTTTGAATTTGTGTTTTCTCCTCTTTATTTATTTATTTTAATTTATTTATTTATTTATTTATTTATTTATTTATTTATTTATTTATTTTTTTTTTTTTATAGACTGAAGGGAAATTTGTTTTCGTGCGGTAGCGGCAGCACCTTTGCTTACGGTGTGTTAGATAACTCCTACAAATGGTGAGCATTGTCTTTTTTATTTTTTTTTTATTTTTTTATTTTTTTTATTTTTTTATTTATATGTTTATATTGTATTTCTTTTTATTTTATTTGTTTATTTTGTTTATTTTATTTTGTTTGTTTATTTTATTTTGTTTACTTGTTTATTTTTTTTTTTTGTTTATTTTATTTGTTTGTTTATGTGTTATAGTGATAATATAATAAAATAATAATATAAATATAATATAAATATAATATAAATATAATATAAATATAATATAAATATAATATTAATATAATATAAATATAATATAAAGAAAATATAAATATAATATATAATATAAATATAAATAAAATACAAATATAAATATAATATAAATAAAATATAAATAAAATACAAATATAAATATAACTACAAAAAAGACATCAGTTTAATATTTATGTAAATAAAAAAACAGATATAAATAAATATGTATAAATATATGATTATTTATAATAATATTTGTTTCTGTATTTATATTTATATTTATATTTATATTTATATACATATATTTATATATTTATTTACATAGATTTATATACATATATTTATATATTTATATTTATATATTTATATTTATATATTTATATTTATATATTTATATTTATATATTTATATTTATATATTTATATTTATTTATATTTACATTTACTTTGTTTTTTTTTTTTTAGTGTTTGTTTGTATATGAATTTAATTTGTTGATAGAACCAAACTATTTGCGGGTTTTTCTTTTTTTGTTTCCATTTGTTTTTTTCTTTTTTTCTTTTTTCTTTTTCTTCTTTTTCTTTTTTTTTTTCTTTTATTTCTTTTTCTGTTTCTTTCTCTGTCTCTTCTTCTTCTTCTGTCTCCTCTTCTTCTGTCTCCTCTTCTTCTGTTTCTTCTTCTTCTGTCTCTTCTTCTTCTGTCTCTTCTTCTGTCTCTTCTTCTTCTTCTTCTGTCTTTTCTTCTTCTGTCTCTTCTTCTTCTTCTTCTGTCTTTTCTTCTTTTTCTTTTTCTTTTTCTTCTTTTTCTTTTTCTTCTGTTTCTGTTTCTTCTTCTGTTTCTTCTTCTGTTTCTTCTGTCTCTTCTGTCTCTTCTGTCTCTTCTGTTTCTTCTTTTTCTTTTTCTTTTTCTTTTTCTTTTATTTCCTTTTCTTCTTCTGTCTCTTCTTCTTCTGTTTCTTCTTTTTGTTTTTGTTTTTGTTTTTCTTTTTGTTTTTGTTTTTGTTTTTGTTTTTGTTTTTGTTTTTGTTTTTGTTTAATTAATTTTATTTTTGTTTTTTTTATAGAAAGGGGTACCGGGGTAATAGGAAACATTTCACGCAAGCGAGCGGCCTGCATAAAAAAAAAAATAAATAAATAAATAAATAAATAAAAATAAATAAATAGAAAAAAATAAATAAATAAAATAAAATAAAATACAATAAATAAATATAAAGAAAGGAAGAAAGAAAGAGACAACAAAGAAAGAAAGAAACAAAAGAAACAAAAGAAACAAAGAAAAACGAAAAAAAGGAAAATAAACAACAACACAAACAAATAGATAAACAGACAAAAAAACAAAACAAAACAAAAAAAAACAAAACAAAACAAAAGAAACAAAAACAATATATATTT